AAAAGTCAAGTTATACCTAGAGCTGTGAAGGGAGGGTACTTACAGCAATTAACAGAAAGGTACTATGTTGGAAAGTCAGGCTATACCTGAAGCTGTGGAGGCAAGGTATCCTAGATACCTACAGCTCTGAAGAGAAAGGTAATATGACTGTCAGAAGTCAGGCTATATCTACAGCATTGAAGGGAAGGTACCCTGGTTACCTACAGCTGGGAGAAAGGAATCCGGATTGTAGGGAAGTCAGGTTATACAGACTGTGGAGGGAAGATATACTGGATTTCTGAAAAAAAAAAAAGTATCATGACTGTCAGAAATCAGGATATACCCACAGTTATTAAGGTAAGGTATTCTGGGCTTTGATACACTCTGAAGTTTCCCAGAAGTGTCCATTACATCTCTGTTCTACTCCACTAGAGAGTTTCCCAAGAAAGTTGTCCATTTCTTCTCAGCTACAGAGCAGACTGGCACTCCTCTGCTTCACTCAGCTAAGGGGGAAACCACTACACAAAGGGAGCAGTCTGTTCTGGCTCCAGCAAAAAGTTGTTACCTCTGCTTCACTGCCTAAGGGAGTTTCCCAGCAGAGGTGTTTATTTCTCTGCTCCACTCCACTATGGAGTTACTGCTCCAGTCTGGTGAAAGAAAGTCTTCACCGCAGAGACTCATTCTAGAGGTTAATTTGGGAGAAATCCAGGGGAGTGGCCACCTCTGTCAAGGCGGAAAAGGACTTCTGTCACTGAACAGGCACAGAGCTTTTACATAAGGCTTCTTATGGGCAGAGTTTTTCCTTGGAGATTTTCAAGGTGGGAACTGGTGGGATTTCAGTCACTGAACTTAAAGAAGCTGAGAAATGGACTGTATTTCTTTATCAGGGAATGGTTGGTTTTGAGCTCAGGGATTCATTGGTTTCATGCGCAGATTGTCAAGGATAGAATGTGTTTCTTGGTTCTGGTTTCAAAGCCAAAGTGTGTGTCTCTCAGTGGTCCCTTTTAACTGCTTGGATATGGTTTCAGAGCCAGTGTGTTTCTTTCATTGGCTCTGGATTCAGGGACAAAGTGTGTTTCTTTGGCTCTAGTTTCAGGGTCAGGGTGTGTTTCTTTGGCTGTGATTTCAGGGCCAAAGTGTGTGTCCTCCACTTGCCTTGATTTCAGAGTCAGTGTGTTTCTTTGCCTGGCTCTTTTACCCTACACAGAGGGATTCATAAATTCATGAGTTCATTTTCCCCATGAGTCTGCTGGTGCAAATGGTGTAAAAACAGTCATCATAATGCTTGAATAGATTGCTGACACTGTCAAATTCCTTTCTATAGAATAAACACTCTTGTTTAACTGAATGTAAGTGTGTTGGAAAAAGATCTTACCAAATTCTTTATAATAAGTAGTACTCAAAGACTAATGCAATATGCAAAGGCATTAACAGATTGATTTCACACAAAAAGTTTTACTCATGTATAAAGTATGAAATTTTACCACACTGATTACATTTATATAGTTTCTCTGCAGGGTGATATTATCTCAAGATTTTGGAGACTACTGACACACGCAAATGCTTTAACACAGTGATTACATACAGTGTTTCTCTCTTTTATGACATTGAAAAATGTTGTAATATGCAAAGGCTTTACCACACTGATTACATTCTTAGGGTTTTTCTCCAGTATGCATTACTTTATGCCTTTGAAGAGTAATGTGACATGCAAAGCCTTTACCACATTGACTGCATTCATAGGGTTTCTCTCCAGTATGTGTTCTTTCACGTTTTGCAGAAGACTAGAACATGCAAAGTCTTTACCCACTGATTACATTCATAGGGTTTCTCTCCATTATGTGTCCTTTCATACATATGCAGATGACTGTATTGTGCAAAGGCTTTACCACACTGATTACATCCATAGGGTTTCTCTGCAGTATGTGTTCTTTCATGCATTTGCAGACTACTGCATTGTGCAAAGGCTTTACCACACTGATTACATTCATAGGGTTTCTCTCCAGTGTGTGTTCTTTCATGTTTGGGGTCCATGAGGTCCCCTTTGTTCAGGTCAGCTATTTCTGTGGGTTTCACCCGCCCAGTCTTGACTCCTTTACATATCATTCCTCCCTCTCTGCAACTGGTTTCCAGGAGTTCAGTTCAATGTTTAGTTGTGGGTGTCTGCTTCTCCTTCCTTCAGCCACTGGATGAAGGCTCTAGGATGGCATACTAGGAAGTCATCAATCACATTATCAGGAGAAGGCATTTAAGGTAGCCTCTCCACTATTGCTTAGATTGCCAGTTGATGTCATCTTTGTAGGTATCAGGGCATCTCACTAATGCCAGATCTCTTTTCAAACCTATAATGGCTACTTCTATTATGGTATCTCTCATCCTGCTCTCCTCTATTCTTCCCCAACTCAACCTTCCTGCTCCCCCATGTCCTCCTTTCCCCTCCTCTGCACCCCCTCTCTTCCTCTAAGGTTCCTCTCCTCCCCACCGTCATGCTCACAATCCTCTCAGGAGATTCTGGTTCCCCATCTCTGGGGAACCAAGCATAACTCTCTTTGGGTCCCCACTGTTTTCCAGACTCTCTGGCTGTGGGATTGTAGGCTGGCACTCCCCTGTTTTATGCCTAAAATCCATATATGAGTGAGTACATACCATGTTTGTCTTTTTGTGAGTCACTCAGGATGGTTTCTTCTAGTGCCATTCATTTGCTTGAAAATTTCAAGATTCCATTGGTTTTTTTCCATGAGTAGTACTCCATTGTGTAAATGTACCACATTTTCTCTATCCACTCTTCAGTTGAGGGGCATCTAGGTTGCTTCCAGGTTCTGGCTATTACAAATAATGCTTCTATGAACATAGTGGAACAGATGTACTTGTTGTATGAATGTGCATCTTTTGGATATATGCCTAAGATTGGAATTGTTGGGTCTTGTGGTAGATTGATTCCCATTTTCCTGAGGAATCTCCATACTGATTTCCAAAGTGGCTTTATGAGTTGACACTCCCACCAGCAGTGGAGGAGTGTTTCCCTCTCTCTGACAGGAGTGAGATGGTATCTCAGAGTTGTTTTGATTTGCATTTCCATGATGGCTAAGGATGTTGAACACTTTCTTAAGTGTCTCTCAGCCATTTTAGACTCCTCTATTGAGAGTTCTCTATTTAGTTCTGGAGACAACTTTTTAATTGGATCCTTTTGGTGTTTTGGAGACTTGCTTCTTGAGTTCTTTGTAAATTTTGGAGATTATCCCTTTGTCAGCTGTAGAGTTAGTGAATATATTTTCCCATTCTGTAGGCTGCCTTTTTGTCTTGTTGACTGTGTCCTTTGCCTTACAGAAGCTTCTCAGGAGGTCCCATTTGCTAATTGTCAATCTCAGTGTCGTGCTACTGGTGTTATATTCAGGAAGCATTCTCTTGTATCAATTCACTCTTCTAAGAGATTCAGTGTGGTTGGATTTATGATAAGGTATTTGATCCATTTGGACTTAACGTTTGTGTGTGTGATTCATGGATGGATAATAAAAATTTTATACATGACCACAATGGAATATTATTAAGCTGTTAAGAAAAATGTTTTTAATTTCACAGATAAAAGGATCAAGCTGGAAACAATCTTTCTTAGTGATGTAACAGAGACTCAGAAAAAAAATGTCAGACATTTCCTCTTATTTATGGTTGTGAAATTTGAGTCTTCAGATATGAATAGCTCATTTGGGGAGCTCTTATACATCTGCGTTTATAGTTCTAATAAACAGTTAAATCTGTTACCAACCAGCCTACTTTGTCTCCAAGCCTATTCTCCCTGCTAATCCTAGAATGTAAATGACCTAGAAGCTAGAAAATTTGCTTTCATTCTCCTTTCAGTGAATACAAGAAATACTTTGCTGCTTGATTTTTTTCTCACTTTGCATTTAAACCACTTACAGTAAAACTTTCTGTTAAATTACCTTGTCCTGTTTGTAATTGACTCTTCTTTGTAGAGTTTGATCAGAGTTATACAGTAAGTTCCAAAACAGCTTTCGTTATTGTTGATTTATTATCAGTATGTTATGCCAAATATAGCAAGAATATTAAACTTAAAAACATATTAAATATCTTTGAATCATTATGTACTATGCAAAACTTATTATTTGAAACATGTAATAAAATACTGTCTTTCTTCATTTAAATTTTCCCACACTTATGGTATAGTAAACATAATTATATGAATTTTGGGTGACCATATTTATAAAAGTGTATATCATAAAATAATTTATTCCTGATAGTCATTATATCCACTATCACACATAAATTATTGCAGAAAGAACTTTTAAGATCTACTCTCTTAGAGGTTTTCAAGTATAGAGTACACTAGTACTAACTATAGTAAGTATGATATACAATAGGTCTCAAGCTTACTTTGCCATTGGATTGAAATTTTGCAACATTTTACTAAAATATCTCCATTTCCTGATAGGTCCCCAATCCTGAGGCCACTTTTCCTTTTGACCATTCGTTTAACCACAGCAGTGTGGCTACCTAATACAAAATTCACAAAAAATGAGGATTAAAGAGATGAATTAGCAGTTAAAATCACTTGTGGCTATTCCAGGGGACACAAGTTTAGTTTCCAGCATCCAACTGTTTATGTTCACAACAGTTTGTTGCACCAGGTCCAATGTGACCCTTCTTGCATTTTCTCTAGTGTTTAGCTCTTTATTAAACACCGCGCATAATTATCTACAAACGAATCTGATATCACACAATTATATAATCAATCAATTTGTTATAATGAAGTTTAACTAATTTCTTGATAAAATTTCAAATCTTGGTGTTCTTCCTAGAATTGTTTTAGCTATTTAAACTCTTAGTCATATATATTTAACACCCTTAAATGAAAATTACATATCTATAAAGCTCATATTGTAGATAAAATAAGCAAGTCCTATTTCAATCCAAAATCCAGATTATAAATTACTGACTTTTTCATGGTTGTAAACGGCATTTCATCTTACCACAAGCATATGCACAGAAATGACTCCAGGCTGTCATTACATATTACTTTCTTGCTATTTAATTGATACAATATTCAAAAGAAATGTTAAAAACTAATGTGTTTTCATCTTTTTTCCTATTCTTTTTTGAATTAATGATAAACTCCCCAATTCCTCATATAGAATACATGTGCATTGATTTTTAAGAAAAGTTAACTTCATTTTGTAAGCATCCACATAAACAAAGTCTATGAACTTTCACAATAGTTCATTAAGTGCAATTTCTGATTCACACTGTATAGCAAGCCTTTCCATAAGAAACTGAGAAAACTTAACCAGAGTAAAGATTTATTTCACAAATGACAAAGTAAAAAGCTATTGATGAATGGTTATTATGTGGTTTTCATGACAATTAGTTTGAAACAATGTAATTATGTTTGCTTCATCACTTAATAAATTAATAACTTCTGAATGTTAACCTCAATGCAAGTATTGTAACATTTTCTAATCAGAGCACCCATCCATATTGGTTGATACTACTTAAGACTAAGTATTGCTTAGCATGATTATAAAGAACACGAGTAACATGTTTTGCAAGAACACATAAAAAAGAAAGATGATCTTTGTGTAGTTAATGAGGTCAGAATGGCTAAATTCAAAAACACCAATGACAATTTATGCTGGAGAGGATATGGTGAAAGGGGAACACTCCTCCATTGCATGCATCACTACTGCCCAGTAGTTTTACCTCTCAAATCTTTGTATGTATGTATCTATCTATCTATCTATCTATCTATGTATATTTACTTACTTATCTATTATATCTGCCCACTCCCAAAAATCCAAATCCTTTGGCCCCCTACACAATCAAAAATAATTAAAATAATTAACCTGTCATTAATGAAGGAAAACAGCAAAAAGAAATGAATAAAAGCTATGGGAACTTGGCCTGGGCATGGGATGAAGCTTCTGGTGTTGGGTTGGAAAGCTCAGCTAGTCTAGCAGTAGGTGCATAGACAGAACAAAGCGAGTTCTGGTGGTCGTTGGGACTTGGGGCAGCACAAGAAGAATGCCAGATACTGATGGCAAAGTGAGTCTGTCTTTCTGTCTTTCTTTTTCCTCTTTCCTTTTTGTAATAAATAAAAGGGACTTTAATGGCATGGAGCTCCATTGCAGGCACACAGAGTTTGGATGCATCCTGTTTCCACCTCATGCTGCAGGTGCCCACTCTTCCACCAATGCACTGGCCCAGGAAAAACTTTAAAGAATTGGGCCCAGGGAGGTGGAATTTCTAGATTTTCCAGAAAACACATGGTGGGGTCTGGTGCCCCTCTTCTGGTGAAATGGTGTACGTGCATACAGCGCATGCATACATAAAATAATTACATGAGCTTTTTATTATTATTTTGGTTTTAGAGACGGGGGTTTCTCTGTAGCTTTAGACTCTGTCCTGGAACTTGCTCTGTAGACTAGGCTGGCTTCAAACTTACAGAGATCTACCTGCCTGTGCCTCCCCAGTGCTGCTGGGATTGAAGGTCTGTGCCACAAACACCAGGCATGTTCTCTTTTTTTTTTCTTTTCCTTTCTCTTGGTCTGCAAATCCATGTTTCTTTCCTCCTTTCTTTCTAGTTTGCTTCCATCTTGGTGAGGTCACTAGCCAAAGCATGTGCACACACGTGCATACGCACACGCTCACGCACGCGCGCGCGCGCGCGCGCGCACACACACACACACACACACACAGGCATGCATGCCCAGAGACACATGAATAAAATTTGAAATTAAATTTAGTGTACAATAAACTAACAGAAAACGAAATTGAAAGCAGGCAGAGAAGAACCTTCTTGTAGTCAGACTCTGGGTCCTGCATGTTCAATTTGTAGTGCACATTGTCATCGCTCAAAGGCAAGAATAGTTTCTTTGTCCAGGGACTAAACTTGCCACAATGACAGCAAATTCCATGAGGAGTTTCTTCATTGTCTATCATCTCTGAAGTAAATTGGTGCTGCCAGGAGCAGATGTCTCATTTTCATGAAAATCCCCCAGTTAACAAAGCCTTTTAAGTGCTGTATTATGAAGGTCTTTGAAATCTTTCAAGACCATCTATCTAAAATATGTATCCATATTATCTTATAAATATACCTAGTATATCTATAAATTTGATTATTATAAATGACTAAACAGTAATGTGTTTTCAGATTATAGTATTTCATAATAGTAGCTTTCAAAAATTAGAACTTTACCTAACATTTTTAAATGGACTGTCTTGGTACAATGCCTTAAACAAGAGCAGAAACATATACGCAACATTGTGATAAAAATAACCTTAAATTGGTATCAATATACAAAAATTCTTTAAACAGAGTAGAAACATATATATAATGTATTGTAGCAAAAATGACCTTACATTTGTAGCAGTACACAAAAATTGTTTTAAACAAGAGCAAAATCAGACATACAGCATAACAAAATAACTTTATCTTCATATCAACATACCAAAGTCCATGCCAAGACAAATATGTGAGACTAAAAATCTTTTTTGCTACAAGTCCCAAGATCACACAGTAGTTAAATAGCCATTGTTTCTTGAGACAAGCCAAGCAGAGGGAGGGGCTTTGTGTCAATGATTTAAACCAATACAAAGGTCATATTTGGTTTTATAGTCTTATGAATAAAAGTGGCCATTTCTTGCTGTAAATCCTAGTAACTTATACCTTTCTGTAACAAATTTTGGGATTTACAGTTCAATGCTATCTGATCATTTACTGGGCACAACTTCTCCTATGCCTTTTGAGTTCACTGATTATACTCCTTAGCTATGTGTGAAACCTGTTCTCCATTGCCAAGTCCTAGTTAGCTGATTACATCCCTTAAACATGTGTGATGCCCATCTCCTACTATCAGGTCCTTCTTTCCCAGTGTTATTATGCAATTGCAGAGTCAGTGTTTAGCAAAAGCATTCCATCGAAGACATTCCCAGATATCCAAGGACATAGGATTTCTGCAAAGGCATTAACAGATTGATTTCACACAAAAAAACTTTTACTCATGTATAAAGTAAAAACTTTACCATTCTGACTACATTTATATAGTTTCTCTGCAGGGTGGTTTTTTAACATGATTTCGAAGACTACTGATACGTGTAAAGACTTTACCACACTGTTTACATTCATAGGGTTTCTCTCCAGTGTGTGTTCTTTCATGCTTCTGCAGATCACTGTGGCATGCAAAGGCTTTACCACAGTGATCACATGCATAGGGTTTCACTCCAGTATGTATCCTTTCATGGATTTGTAGACTACTGGGGCATGTAAAGGCTTTACCACAGTGACCACATGCATAGGGTTTCACTCCAGTATGTGTCCTTTCATGCCTTTGCATATTACTGTGGCATGCAAAGGCTTTACCACAGTGATGACATTCATAGGGTTTCACTCCAGTGTGTGTCCTTTCATGCCTTTGAAGATGAGTTCGCCGAACAAAGGCTTTACCACACTGATTACATTCATGTGGTTTCACTCCAGTATGTATCCTTTTATGCTTTCGTAGATTACTGTAACGTGCAAAGACTTTACTGCAGTGATGACATTCATAGGATTTCTCTCCAGTATGTGTCCTTAAATGCCTTTGTAGATGACTGGGGTCTGCAAAGGCTATGCCAAAATGAATACATTCATAGGGTTTCCCTCCAGTATGTATCCTTTCATGCTTTTTCAGAGTACCTTTTTGTGCAAAGGATTTACCACACTGAATACATTCATAGGGTTTCTCTCCAGTATGTGTTCTGTCATGCTTTTGCAGATCACTGCGGCTTGTAAAGGCTTTACCACAACGAGTACATCCATAGGGTTTCTCTCCAGTGTGTGTTCTTTCATGCTTTTTTAGAAAACTGGGGAATGCAAAGGCTTTGCCACACTGATTACATTCATAGGGTTTCTCTCCAGTATGAATTATTTCGTGTCTTTGAAGATGGGTGTCATATGCAAAGGCTTTAACACATTGAGTATATCCAGAAGGTTTCTCTCCAGTTTGACTTCTTTCATGCCTGCAAGGATGATTGGCACATGTAAAAGCTTTACCGCATTTAATACATTGTTGAATCTTTGTATCTGCATGAATTAATTTTATAGTTTGGTCTAAGTGTAAAGAGGAATCAGATCTTATGGTACTATCATTGTGTTTACACTCATGTTATTCCCCTTCATTACGGGTTGTTTTGAATCTTGAAGATATCTGTGGTGGTAAGATCCTTTATTACATGCTCACATTTACAGAATCTTTTTTCTATATGAGATTTTTCACATATTTAACAAGAACTGAGAGCTTTACCACCGTTATTGCATTCATAAGTTTTCCTATACTGTGAGACATACTACATTTGCTGAGTGAACTAGGACAAACAGAATTGTTTACACAGACCTAGTACTCATAGGGCTTTCTGCAGTATGAGTTTGTTGACGTATTAACAATGAAGCTGGAAAACCAATTACTCCTACACTTGAATCAAGTTAAACAAGTATACCCAATGTGGGGACTGAGACATATCTTCTAATTGTTCTGAGAGAGACATGTTACATTTTTCCATAACCCTGTTCTCATATGGTTTGTATCCAGAGTAACATATGACATACCTAGTAAAGGAAGAATAACAAAAAATGGTTTCCACAACGAATTCATAATTTAAATTTTTGTTCCTCATAGACTTGTTGTGTAGGAATTAAGTTTTCTCCACAACTGCCCATTGACTCTTTAATTCTAACTGCCCCCCCATTAACTTAGCACAGTCACAACAAGTATGTGAGTAAGACTAGCTTTACTATGGACTATTTGCTTATTAGAAGGTTTTGGAGATTTACTTATCACCTCTTCAATGTATATAACATTTGCAATATGAGTGGTATGAAATAAATAGACTGAAAGTTCTACAGCAAAATTCTCATGCTATTACAATTCAAATGATCATATCTGATAAGGCATTGTTTCCCTTTCTTCTTTCTTAAAAGGATGCCATGAAGATGCAATTCACCCACCTAAAATTGAGGTATATGGTTTTGTGAGAATTTAATAATCATCAGTATACTTTAAGCTGTTGCTTTTGTTTAAAACTTCCAGGAGGTATTATGTTATCTCTAGAGGCATATTTGTGTCAACTTGCATGAGAAAATTACCTTTCATTTCTTCCAGAACTTTGATAGTATCCTTCAACATGACGGTCTTTCCAACTGTATCCTAAAATGTAGTTCCAGAAAATGTATGTTATATTATGGAAAATTGTGCAAATTTAAGTTACCATCTTCAGTGAACCTTGGGTCCACACCTTATTTATTCCCCTCATTCTTCTTCTTTATCAATCAAATTACAGAATAGCATCAACAACCAAGTAACAGTTGCCCCCTTATTTAAAACATGAAGGAAAATTCAGTCTTACCTATAGTGGTGAGGTTCCTGTAGGTCTCCAGCATCACATCTTTGTAGAGATTCTTCTGAGAGGGATCCATTAAAGTCCATTCTTCCCAAGTGAACTCAATATGCACATCATCATAGGTCACTGCACTCTAAAATATCACATGTGTATGACAGAAAACATGATACAGACAACAGGTGCTTCCCACACTTACTTGATTACACAGACACTACAGTGTAATCACCAAGTCACTTTAGAAGGAAACTGAATAGTGGGTTCACCTCTGTCATTTCTGTACCCTTTGAATCAAATAACACCTTATCAAACATAGAGACAAGTAAACAGATCAACAGTACGGAATACACATGAGACAAACTGTCTGAACAATTACTAATACAAAAGAGAAAATAAGATGAACAAGCTAGATGTATTAGCTCACAACTTTAACCCCAGCACTCAGAAGGCACAGGCAGGTGCATCTACCTCTGAGAAGAATGTCACCCTAGTCCATGCAATCAAGTCCAGGACAGCCAGAAGTACATATTGAGACCCTATTTTCTGTGAAAAAATGGTCAAACAAACAAAAATATAGAAAGAACTCAGAGGTTATGTACTGAAGTTCCTACGAAGAATTACGTCACCACGCCAGTTTTGTATTCATCTTCCAGAAACCTGAAGTGCCCTAACTTAAACTGTAGCATCAATAATATTTTAGTAAAAGGCACTGCATGTTTAGACAGTTAGAAATTAACAGATGAAAACATTAGCAATATAAGTGTTGATTGTAAATAATAAACACAGGGTAGATAAATGGCTCAGTAGTAAAAAGCTCTTGCTTGTCTTGCATATAGGTGGGCTCAATTGCCAGTGTTTACATGGGGGAATCAGAATCATCCACTATTCCAAGTTCAGGATTTCTGAAACCATCTTTTGATCACTGTGAGGACCAGGGATCCATGTAGTACATATTCATGCATACAGGTAAAATGCATTCATTAAAAATTTTTAAAACAAACACAACAGGCAAGTAGAAGGTCATAAACCTTCAATCCAGTGACTCAGAAGGCTCAAGAAGTATTAATGGCATGAATATAAACCATACTGGGGTACAGAATGATACCCTCTACCAAATTTTAAAATTCAAAACATGGGTGAAGCTCAGTAATGTTTGACATGTACAAAATCTACATTCCAGGCCTATCACTCAATAATACAAAAAACCAAAATAGCCAGTAATGTTGGTCCACCTTTAATCCCAGAACTTGGGACCCAAAGACAGGGGGCTCTCTAATTGAAGCCAGCCTGGTACACAGAGCTACTTTCAGGACAGTCAGAGCTACACAGGTAAACCTTGTCTTCAAAAACAAACAGACAAAAAAAATAAAACGGCACAGTACCAAACTGTCTTAGCACTGAATAGCAATTGCTTCTACTATGCCTTATGTTATTTAGAGTTAGAGTCTATATGGGTGGTGAAGGCATGATGGCATAAGAGGGAAGCTGACTGATTAGTTTCAACCACAACACAGTAGACATAAAGAACAGGAAATGGGTTGAGGCTATAGAGACTGATACCACACCGATAATGAGGAATTTCATCCACAAAGGCTCCTCCTAAGAAAGGTTTTACAAGCAACCAAATGAAAGTCACCAAGGAGAGACACAAGTTCAAACACATCATCCTGTCTGGGAGTGTTTCATTAAATCAACCACGAGGAAAATGCATTTAGTCACTTCAATGATTCTCATAGCCTGCAACAGTCCCTACACTGTTCAAATGTCCTGATGGGGGAATGTCCATATGCATATAAAGCTAGTGGCCAGGCAGAAAGGATAGATAGGCAGAGCTACCAGATGAGGAAAATTCTGGAAAGTGGCCAATAGGACGGATGGAAAAGTTGGGTGGGGCTGGCAGGCTAAGCTAATAAATAGGAAGAGATATCTGGGAGGAAAAAAAAGGAAGGAGGAGCAAGAATAGGAAAGGACAACAGGAATCAGCCACCCAGCTGCAGAGCAAGTCAGAGTAAGAAGTAAAGAAAGGTACATAGAGTAGAGAAAGATAAAAGTCCAGAGGAAAAAAGGTAGATGGGATAATTTAGGTTAATAAAGGTGGCTAGAAACAAGCCAAGCTAAGACTGGGCATTTATAGGAAAGAAAAGGCCTCCATGTGTGTTTTCTTTCAGAGCTGGGTGGCAGGCTCCCAAAAAAGTAAAGAGTTAAAAAACAAACCACAACCACACAGCTTCATGAAATGAACTCTCACAGTCTCCTCACTGGGTTTTTGACTCTACCAAACACAGAAGCTTGAAATAATGCTCAATTGTAACCATAGATTAAATATCCATTATCTCAAATTTTGATTTTTTTCTTGTTTCCAGGACTAGCATATGATGGGTGATCCTACAAAGTTTGGTTTCTTAACTGGGATGAACACCAGCAAGCTTGGACCACAAGTTCAGCAGGCTTTGTATGAAGTTGCTTCCTGGGACTAGCAATCACTTTGCTTAATTCTTCCATAAATTGCAGATTTAGCTGGATGGAGTCTTAACCTTTGGGCATCTTCCTAGGCTTCCATTCCATAGCAAGAGCATTCTCTATAATGGTGATAAACTCTTTGAAAATTCCTGCCTGTTTCTGCACTTGACTGCCATCTAAAACTACCTTTTTATTTATCTCTGCCCAACTTGTTTTTTTGTTGAGGACCAGATCACTATAAATCTCTATTTCTCGCCCCAAGGCACTTCCCAAAAGTCAGGTGCCTTCCCACAGATGGCCTGGGGCCACAGAGATAACCCATGATTAACAATGTTTCGTTAATACCTGCACTCCCTGGTGAAATGTCTTGCTCATCACTTACAAATACTTCCTGCTTCTGACAGCCTCCTTCTCCATTTCTCTGTGAGTTCGAGGCCAGGCTGGTCTACAGAGAAAGTTACAGGACAGGCTCCAAAACAATACAGAGAAACTCTGTGCTAAAACACAAAAAAAAGCTTCAAATTAGGAGAGATCAACTGCTGACTCTTAATGACTATCAAAGATGGCTAGGAGACATTTCCTGTCTGTGGCCCACTATTGGAGTATAGTGTGATGAACTGAGTAATTTGCTCAAAACCTTAGACAGTAAAAAGGACTTAAATAGTACCAGGAAATTATAAGAAATTATAAGCTGAGGCCAAGAGAGAATTGGCTTTGGTGTCTAAAAGAAATTGCAGGATGCACATGTGAATCATTTGTGTCCAAAGCTTGATTGAGTTTTGGTTATGTTAGCCTCTAAGCATTCTCCTACAGTAATACTAATGCAAAGGGAAGATATTATCTTTAAATGGATCTTTTTAACACATAAACAGAGGAAAAAATTGAAAACTTATGTGTAAAAGGTCTCTGTAGATTCAAAACAGGAAAATTGTGACCTCATCAATTAGCAGGAATAGACTCACCAGAAACGGTAGTACCTTTTACTAATGATGAAACTGACAAATTATGGGCAGAAGTGAACCTTGGGAAAGAGCTTGCAGTAATTTTTTGGGAGAGATTAACAACAAATACCCCAAAAACAAGAGAATTCAATTAATAGAGAACAAACTGGATCCTTCCTCACATTGCATGGTGAACACTAATATCTGGAGCCCCTACATTCTATACTGATGCAAATTAATCATGAAAGGCAGGTTACAAGTCAGAAAATTTAAGCCCTTATGATTATGCCCAAAAGTCAGAATTATATGCTATTCTCACGGTATCAATGGATTTTACAGAAACGCTCAACAGTTACTGATTCGTAATATGCAGACAGATTTGTTTGCACATTGAAACTGCTGCATATGTATCAGGTGACGCAGAGTTAACTTTATTGTTTACTCAGTTAAAAGACATAATCAGGAATAGTTATCATTCGGGTCTTCCAGGCCATCTGGTACAAGGTAATGATGAAATTGATCAAGTATTGATAATAAATGTGTTAGAGACCTCAGAATTTCACTAAAAAATATCATTGCAATAGCAAAGGTTTGAAAAAAGACTTTTCCATCACTTGAAAAGAAGCCAAGGAAATTATAAGGAAATGTCATACTTGTTGTTTATACAACCAAACTCTACTACCTGCAGGAAGTAACCCAAAGGATACTCAAAGGAATGAAATCTGGCAGATGGATGTATTTCATTTTGTAAAATTTGGAAAATAAAAATATGTATATCTATTCAGGTTTTCAATGGGCTACTACTTTGACTTCTAAAAAGGCTGATTCTATAATCACACATTTGTAGAAAGTTATGGCCATTATGGGAATACCTATAAAAACATGGAAAATGTTCAGCATAGGTCTCTAGTAAAAGGGAACTTTTTTGTTATTATAATATAAAGCATATTACAGGTATACTACACAATCATAAAGGACAAGTAGTTATAGACAGATCAAACTGAACTCTAAAGGATATGCCAATTAAACAGAAAGGTGTAATAAAGACCCCCAGAAATAGACTGCATAATGCTTTATTGACTTTGAATTTTCTAAATACTAAGGAGAAAGGAATGACAGCTGCAGAAGAGACACTGGATAATAGAAAAAAACTATGGAATTAAATTAGCCTATATACTTTAAACATGTGTTGACTTCAGAGTGGAAACCAGGATGTTACGGTGCTGAAGGCTTTGCTTTTGTTTTCACAGGAGAAGAAAAGCTATGCATACCATCAACACTGATGAAAATTAGATTTGAAGAGACACCTCTTGATTAAAAAGAGGTGATTGTTCATCAAAAAGCATGGCTGTTCAGTCTAAACTAACTTTAAAGCTAACAAATGCTTTCCATTTATGTCAGACATAACTTGCCATTAGGGAACCTCCCCAAAGTTAGGGTTGGGGAAGGGTTTTGCTTTTCTCTTTTCAGGAGAATGAAGGCATTAAGGTGAGTAATCTGAAGACCACTACACAAGTGAGACATCAGAAGAAAAAGGCCAAACCATCCTGAAAAAAATAAAAGTCGCAAGAAAATGAGTAAATTGGTCTATTAGTATACCACATCTCCAACAGGATAAAATTTCATTCATTTCCCGAAATGTTTGTTTCTTCTTTTCCCTACAGACTTATAATGCAATGGTTTTTCTGTAGTCCCAGTTCAATTAAAAATTAAGCTGGCTTCATAAACCCAGGCA